TTATGGGATTAGGTGGTATTATTATGGCTAAAATGAAAAAATATATACAAGCATTATTACATGTTGGATTTATATTATTCCCCATAAATAAATAAAAATTCATGAACTAGGCATGGAATAAGACCATGTCTTTGTTTCAACTAATTTAAGCTATGGACGTGACAACCACTATATTAATCTTCTTTTGTTGAAGCTAATTATAATTCTAATTTATCACATATACAGACCTTATGATCCAAACAAGAAGTTGCTGTTGAAGACAAAAATGGTCTGCCTGCAGAATTTGCAACAGAAGGCTAAGGAGCTCTTGATCCAACCTTTCTACTTCCTCACAATCAACCTCTTAACCCTCTTGCTTCCCCTCTCATTTCTCCTGTTAGCCAGGCTCTCTTGTGCCCATTGTCTCTTAGCCTCTTATGCTACGCAACCACTCTCTTCTTTTCCCTTCTCTTTTTTTCTGTACACAAACCCAGCTATTCTCTATCTCCTTGTTTCAGCTATTAGCATAGCCACTCTTATTCATGGCTTGACAGGTAAACTTACAATTCTAAGCGAGTCACCCGGGGCAGTTTATCAATCTCGTTTGTACACAGCCTGGATTCTCCTTTGTACGTTACAAATTTCTGTTGGACTGGGGATTGAAGGCAGCATAGGGGTTGGAGTTGATGGGTCTAGTTTTGGTATTGAGAGAAGTTTGCTCAGTAGAGTAATATTTTTCTTGGGTTTGCATGAAACTATGCTTCTTTGGTTTAAAACGGTCGTGAAGCCAGTGGTTGATGACACAATTTTTGGGGTTTCAAAAGAGGAGAGGTGGGTGGAGAGAGTGGGGATGGCTTTGACTCTAGGTAGCTTGTGGTGGTGGAAATTGAGAGATGAGGTTGAGTCTCTGGTGGTTGTGCCTGAGGCTAAGAAAGAGTTGTTAATAAGTGTTGGGGTGGCTGACTTTGTTGGTTGGTGGTTGTATTACCTGACCGTCACTATTGGGATGGTTAGGCTTGTTAAGGGTCTACTTTGGCTTGGAATGGTTTTGTTCTGTAAGAGGGTGAGAAAAAATTCTATAACTCACCCTTGCGATGTTGAAGACAAGGTCTGAACACAACTTAACCCTTCTGTTAGTTTTGTAATTTTTTTTTTTTTCAATTATTGTTCTGGTCAACAATTATATTGTATTCTTTCCTACAAGTTGTAAACTTATACCAAACTTATATTATTATGGGAAAAAATATTCATCAATCTTTATAATAGTCTACATCACATATAGCTTTCTTGGGGAAATATAATAAAGGAAGAGAAAAGGAACTCTTTCATCTTTTTATACTTGATGTATCATAACTGAGTTGACAAACTACAAGAATGCCCATGAGCCTAAAAACAGATTGCAATCACTAGTTAAGAATTAGTAACACTGTATAAAATATAGCAGCAATTTATATGCTAGCTCTTTCAAGACCGTGCTTTATCATATTCTTACCTACAATTCTGAAACCATAATCTCTCACATACGTGAAAAAAAATCAGCGTGTTAGCCCAACAGCAGCCCATGTAAAAAGACTAATAATCAGTGGGCCGTGGCCTCTGTATCTGTAACAATCTTTGTGATCACAGCAAAACATTGCGGACTCACTCCTGTATTAAATTCAAATGGGCCTTAAGCCTCTGTTGCATAAGGAAATGATTTATTTCAATATTTCAATGCTCTGTAAACACCACAACATTTGTTATCTTTAAAGATAGACTAACACTTCTCATTAATTTTTTCTCACAAATGTGATATGGTGACTCACAATTGGTTAGCTCGTATTTGGTCATATGAGACTCATTGCGACTTGACATGTCACGTTTGTGAGAAAAAGTTAATGAAAAGTGTTTATTAGCATAATATTACTCTTTACTATAGATTGGAGCAACATATTTTGGAGAAGTCGAGTCCTTACTATCAAAAGCATAAATATAGCCAGCCTAAAATGATACTCTGGACTCTATAGAATCTTTCAATGTCCATGGTGTAATTCCTCTCTCCAAACTCAGCACTAGATGGCCCTCGTTGTCTTTTTTTTTTTTGGTATCCAAGGTTCCTTGAAGTTAACGGTTAGACAAACCTCTAATGGTTACTTCTTATTAATAGTTGTGAGGATTTAAACTCTAAACCTTTTGAGTAATACACCTAAGAATTTAAAGCTAACCACCACACTAATTAACGGTAGTTAATGACCCTCATCATCGCAATTCACAAATTGCATTCAAAAGTATTATTACGATGAGGCGGAGAATACCATCGTTAAACTACACCACCTTCACATTGGGCGAATATACTTAAACAACAGAAAGGGACAATTATATAGTAATAGTACACGCATCAGAGAAGACAAAGAGTGGGGCAATGAAAAAATTTAAAATAAATAATTCCCATTTATTTACGCTTATATGTAAAACAAAAAGTATTGACTAGTAAAGGTCAAACAACAAAGATAAAATGTTAGCATCATAAGATTTGAACCACAGTTTTTACCACACGATCTCAAATTCTCAATGTAAAAGTAATGTGAACAGACCTGAATATACAAAGGCAAAAATATGTAGTATTGAAGCAACCAATCAATAACCCGGAGGAAGGCCTGGGATTAGAGAATAAAATCTGTTAAAAAACAATAGTTTCATACAATTGCTTAATTTAATACCCATAAATATATAATGTGAAAATACCTGAACATACAAAGGCAAAAATAGTACTATATAGTGGAAGATAGATCATAGATGCAACAAATCAATAAACTAAGAAGGCAAGGGTTAGAGAAAGAATTCTGCACAATGCATTAGTTGTCATTCTATTGTAATTTGTAAACTTTAATGGCCATAAATGAAATGGGAACATACCTGTACAAAGACAGCGGCATGTAAATTGTAAAATATGGATGCTCAATAACCAACAATGTGTAAGACTTGCAACCAAAGGGTTTAGTTCTCTTGTGATCTTAGGCTCGAATCACAAGAACAATTATTAATATTATTGTTTACGGACTATAAGATTTGTCCTGTTTCGAAAGTCTTGTTCGGGTTAAAAAAATAGTTAAGATGCGTATAGGTTAACCTAGACACTCCTGATAACAAAAAAAAAAAAATGGATGCTCAATCCATAACCTTGATAGAGGAAGGCATGGGATTTGAGAATGTGTACAAAATATTAGCTGGCATTCAGCTGTATAATTTAATTTTAATACCCCCGTATTATAATGTGAACATACCTGAGCACGCAAAGGTTCCATGGAAACCTCCGAGATCCAAAGCAAAAGAAGGTATCAATAAATAAACAAAGCAGATATTCTCAAAACCACTGGAAATAGTGTTTAAAGTGTCAAAGATAAGGTTTAATATTACAAATTTATAAGACATTTCGTTATCACATAATTTTATTCATTGGGAAGTTACGGAACATTGGATCTAAAAATTTCTATCTGGAATTCTAAATTTCTAATATTTTTATAAATGTTTCATTCATCCTAAACCTGTTTTGCTTCCCGAAAATAGGTAAATAAATAAATAAAATAAAAAAGATGTCCTAGCAAAGCCTTTAATCTTTTCATTTGCAATAATTTAGTGCAATTATTCATTGGTAGGGAAATAAAATCATTGGAAGATTACTCTTGCCACTCCTCCAACTCTTGTAAGATCCTCTACTCCACTGGCTTCTTCAGATTGTGCCTCTCTTCCTCCAAGGTATGAGTTAGATACACCGGCGGAAGGAAAGACCACCGGTCCACAAGCAGCATAAAAAAATTCTACATTTGCATAACAGAGATTGTTGAATTCCGCCTGACCGCGTTTGAGGCGGGTCTTTTTTTTTTTATTCAGTGGAAATTGGCAAGGACAAATGAAAAGCTAAATTGAGGCTGTCATTTGACTGGCCAAAAAAAATGTAACATTCATAGAGACAATTTTTTGGAATTAATACCAGATAAATAATTATATCCCTTTTGTAATCGTTGTATATATAGATACAACTCCATTTAAAAAGGATGGAGCATTCCTATATTATAGAAGGAAATAAATTAGTGTAACTATGACTCAGTTCAATTCTAATAAACATAGGAAAGTTCAATTTTGATTGTTGATTAAAATGAAGTATATGAAAACAAAATACTTTTTTTATCTAATAAAATCTAAAAAAAGGTTTAATCCAACTAAAATTGGATTGAAAAAGATTTGATTAATTTGGACTGAATTTTAGTTTTCAAACAATGTTAACCCTTATATTTATTTATTTTTTCTATTGTCATTGTTTGATGGTTATTCCTGCAATGATTCTGAAACGAATATGCTTTGAAAAGGAAGTTTTGGCAAACGATGTAAAAGTAAAAACCACGAGAGAATAATGATTGAACAGTAAAGTTCAGAACTTGCGGAAAATCTCCGGCTTCGGAGCATCAAGTTATAATAATTTCACCAGGCAGCTTATATAATCAACTAGTAAAGAATCATGAGCAGTCAGTTGGACGCAGTAATCGGATAAAAGAAGATAAATATTCCGTGACGGAATTCAAGTTTGGCTCCCAGTCATAGAATAAAAAGCACTAGCATTTGTTGTTATGTTTTTATTTTATTTTATTTTTTTCAACTGAATTTCTTAAGCAATTAGATCAGGCAATGCCATGATCCTGTCCTGTCTGGAGCCTTACTCTTGTCGATAACAATGAAAAATATTACCAAATATTTTCTCCTGTACTCGTGGCAGAGTTTGTATCTCCAGATCTTTATATAAACGAATCCCACGCGTTGGTTTTGGCATTTCATATATTGATAATATCGATATTACAATCGCCGAGCCCAAAATGTTTATATGTCAATATCACTGTCACATTCCTAGATATATTCTTATATTTATTTGTTAAAACAAAATACACGCTAGTTATTCCGATTATTATTTGTGAAGAATCAAGAATAAAAAGGTAACCATATTGTCTGACTTGGGAGTACGGGAATTCGTCGATTATTTTCCCTAGATCATGGCAAATTCTTCGTTCTCTTTCACTTCATTTGATTTCAATGGAATCCAAGGCCGTTATGGTAGTCTTACAGAGGATAACGATAAAGAGGAAGAGGTGCTCAAAGGAAAGCAAGATCAAATGTTTATCATGGAAGAGTTTAAAGAGGTTAATCTACTTTTTCCTGAATTCGAGTACCACAACGACAATATGGCCAAGAATGGACTCCATTTGTTCAAAGATCATCAGCAATTATTGGAGCAACAACAGCAACAAGCCAAACCAATTGATTTGTTGTCAAATAATTTCCAACCCAATTTTGTTCCCCCGCCAGCACAATCACTTCAGGAAAATGAAATTCTGAAACTCAAAAGCGTCGAAACAAGCAGCAACCAACTTTATAAACCAGCGAAGGAAGCGCCACATCCATTTGCATTATCATCTCTTGAACTACTATGTAATTATGCAAGCGGGTTCAAGAAGATGAAGGGAAAACTATCCTGCACCGACACTGGAATCGAAATTAGTGAAGGGAGTCGCAAGAAATTATCAACCGAAGAAATCATGAGGGTCGCTGGAGCAAGGTATATACACTTTTCTGACCAAAGTTATGATGATTTTTCAATGGTCATGCACCCTTTTGGTCATGCTCTCTCAGGCCTGTCCGAAGAGGAAACTAGAGATGTTGAACTAGTCCATCTTCTTCTTGCAGCGGCCGAGAAAGTAGGCCACCAACAATACGAACGCGCAAGCAGATTGCTCTCACGTTGTGAATGGATTGCGGCTGAGAGAGGTAATCCTGCCCAAAGAATTGTTTTTGATTTTGCCGCGGCTCTTCGAGAGAGGATTGACAAAGAAACAGGTAATATCACGTCCAGGGAATTACAACTGGAGGGAAAAGGAATCAATATGGCTGATCACGGGTTGTGTACTAATTCTGTATTCCTTTCATGCTACCAGCGTATCCCAATTAATCAGGTTATGCAATTCGCAGCAATCCAATCCATACTTGAAAATGTTTCAAACGCAAGCAAGGTCCATTTGGTGGATTTTGAGATTAGGAGTGGAGTTCAATGGACAGCCTTTATGCAGGCTCTTGCAGAGCGTGAGCAACGCCCCATTCAACTTATCAAGATAACTGCTGTTGGGATTAGAAATAAAGAGGAGATGGAGGAGACTGGTAAGAGATTGTCAAGCTTTGCTGAGTCCTTCAACTTGCCTTTTGAATTCAAGGTTGTTTGTGTCTCATCCTTCTCAGAGATTAAGGACGGACATTTCCAGATTGAAAAAGATGAATCAGTCGTCATTTATTGTTCACTGATATTGAGAGTAATGATTGCATGGCCTAGTTGTTTGGAAAACCTAATGAGTGTGATCAGAAAGCTTAATCCATCTATCATGGTGGTCATTGAAGCTGAAGCTAACCATAATTCACCGTCTTTTGTGAATCGTTTCATTGAAGCCTTGTTCTATTACAGTGCACTTTTCGATAGCCTAGAAACATGCATGGACAATGTTGAGCACAAAATTATGCTGGAAACAATTTTTAACAATGGGATTAGAAACATTGTAGCGAATGAGGGCGGTGAGAGAACTGTTCGAAGTGTGAAGATAGAGGTGTGGAGAGCATTTTTCTCAAGATTTAGAATGGTAGAAATGGGATTCAGCGACTCGTGTTTGTACCTGGCTAATTTGGTTGTTAAACAATTTCCTTGTGCAAGTTGCTGCTCTCTTGATAAGGATGGGAAATGCCTAGTTATTGGGTGGAAAGGAACGCCGATTCTTTCTCTTTCAGCTTGGAAGTTCTCTAAAGAAAGAGGGAGATCATTTCTACATTATAGGTTCTAAATTGCTCTGAATTAGGTCATCATTATGAAAGGTTAAACCAGAGAAAAATAATAATAATAATAATAAGAGGGACTTAGCATGTTTCTGGTTTGTTTATTTCATATACCTGATTGAACTGAATAAAGTAGCTAGATTTCCTGGTTCTGCAAGTCTTTTTTATGTTTACCAAATTAATTCCAATGACCAAACAGATTATAATGTTTACATATTCACCTTCTACGGTTTATTACTGTTATTTTAAAAATATTTTCCTTCACTTATATTCATGAGATAACGGAACATTGTTTAATTTTAATTAGTGGATTAATTTTGTCAGCCACCAATGCATTAGACAAATGAAACATGATAGTAATTTATGAATAGATGACGATTAAGGTTACCTTTCCAATATTTTTTAGCCCGTAGAGATCTACCAATTCCTTATTTAACAACAATAATTCTACTCATGAATTGATCAAATAAAAAATAAAGCTCCTAAACTAGCTTCAGTTTACTTAATACAGGACGTAGGAGTGTATATTTGATTCTGTTATTAGTTGGGTTGAGGAGATTTCACCTGTATAAACTGGATTCGTGTACATATTTGAAACATACACACTGCTGCTGACAGCTTAAGTCGAACGTGAATTTGAAAAGAAGAAGAGCTAATTGAAGGACTCGACCCATATATGCATTCTCGAATAATAAATAATAAATAAAATTATGCTCTAATTTACATGAAATAAAAGGAGTATCAGGCTGAAAGCGTCTGTAAATGTTTGCTTTTTACTTTATTTTAAGGTATTGAAAGATTTTTATTTTAGAAGGGCTTATGTCAAACCCAACAAGGCCCATGAATTTCATGGTGTTTCAAGGTCTAATGTGTGATTGGTGAAGTGTCCAAGCCTGCCCAACAAACTTCAGTTTCTTTCTGGCCCACGCTCAGTGGCATTTGTGCACCCCACGTCACTGACACGTCACACATGTCGTCCTAATGTGGGGATATATTTTCTTCGTTTCTCACTCAATCTGTCAATCGAGTTGCAGAGCAGCACAATTATGGTGTCTAAAGCAAGCGATTCTTCTTCTAAACTCAGAGTTAGATTCTCTTTACAGTTTTAATCTTTGATATTAGTTCGTTATTTTGTTCTTTACTTTGTTATTGTTCTGAATAATGATCACCATAATTGAATATCCTATTAATTCTCAGTAACACGTTACAATTAGCTCTTACTTTAATCTATCAATTTTTTATTTGCTTATTGAGAGAATTGATATTAGAAATCTGGAAGTGTTGAAATTTATATGTTAGAGATGAATTTTTAAGGAGCTGGTCTTTCTCTCGAATTTTCCGTAATTGAATGGATGTCTGTTTGGCTGCTGAGAAATCATGGAAAAGAAGTTCATTAGAGCTTAGTTAATTTTATAAGATATCTAACCAACCAAATATACCATTAGGGCTAAACAAAATAATACTATGAATTTAATGGTGATGTACAAATTACAATTGCTCTGATTTTTGAGAGTTTCTTTTATAATTGACAGAAATCTCATGCTGAACAGTCTGGCGATGGTCTTGGAAACTTGTCATATAAGCTAAATCAGCTCAAAAGGCAAATCCAAGCTGAGAGAGTTGATTCTATAAAAGTAAGTTACCTGTCTTCCGTGTTAGTTCAGATGAATTTCACTTATTTATTTTATGCTTCTGCTTTGCTTTAATGATTTTCTCTGTCAGTATTGCAATTGGGCATTGTTTGTTCTATTCTCTATTATTCTAATACCATCACTGGTACTTTGCTATTTAGAGAAATATGATTTTTTTTTATTGATTTTCCTTTTAATTTTTAATTTTTTAAGTTTACGTTGGGTTCTAATGTAATTTTAGATTAAATTCATTGGTAAAGAGTACTGCTTCAGTTGGTATTACAATTCTGCAAAGAAGGTCCTATTTTCACCACTGCAGTGCATTTGTGGATTAAGGGTCTGTTATTATGATATTATCTAATGCCAAGACTTAGTTGCTGTTCCGTCTTATTCAAAGATATAGAACTACTAGTTTGGAATTGATTCTACATTTTAAATGAACACAAGTAATAAGCACGTTTCTGTCATGATGCTAATTTATATGCAGCTCACACATGTATTACATACAGGAAAAACTCGAGAAGAATAGAAGGAAAATAGAAAGTGATGTTTCGCATCTCTTTTCAGCAACGTCAAGAAATAATATTATATTTACCCAGGAGAATGGTTTTGGTAATATGCCGCTTTGCAAGTACAGTGGATTTACTCAAGGATTGGGAGATAAAGAATATGCCAATTGTCATGAAGTTGTGTTCTCAACAAGTACCAAGCTTCCCTATATGGAGAAAATCCCGCCATATACGACTTGGATCTTCTTGGACAAGTATGATCCATAAACACTGTGTTTTCTAAATCTCAAATGTAATTTATTGGATGATAGTCTAGCATCGACATCTTCCATGATGAAAAATAAAAGTTTTTATCAACTAACCACATGTTAACTTCAGTATTTAGGTGGTGCATGTAGATTAATTTGATGGGTAAAGCATTTTACATAGTCACATAGAAAGATTAAGTGGCCATGCTATCAGAATGTTGCATACAAATTTAGCCTGAAGATTATCTTATTTTGCCATTTCTTCTTAATATAATTGATGAAAGTAATACTTTTCACCTTGGCAAGTTGAATTTTAAATGATCTACAGAATTGGTAGGTGGAATATATATATTTTACCTGTGGGGACAGTATGGTCCCTGTATCTTATTACTCAAAGATACTGGTTTGCGTTCATTCTAATCCGACAATCTACTTTAATGATGCAACTTGGTTTCTTCCTGGAAACCACATTTCCATTTTTCCTTTTCAATTTTTTTTTCCCTTTCTCATTCTATATTATACAATTGCTCTTCTTATCTGAAATATGCCTTACACAGCACAGAAATCAGAGAATGGCTGAAGACCAGTCTGTGGTTGGAAGAAGACGTATTTATTATGACCAACATGGCAGTGAAGCGCTAATCTGTAGTGACAGTGAGGAAGATAATGTAGAACCTGAGGAGGAGAAACATGAATTTACTGACGCTGAAGATCGTATTATATGGTATGTTAAAGTCAGATGCAATATCAACAAATTCAGTCATTTGTTATGAAACTGGTTTTGCATTAAGGTGCTTAAAAGGTGTAAGCATGAGTAGTTCAAGCATTAGGCATTGTTCACAACTCAAAATTCTTTGGTGGAGAGAACATACTGATGATTAAAAGGATTCAAACTAATGAATGAAAGGCACTTTGAAAGATTGTCAGTTTGATGAATCTGCCGTCTTTTTCCATTCATTCTTATAGTTTTTGGACCTCTTGGTTGAGGTTTATATTTTTTCCTGCCCTTTTTACCCTTCAGGGCCACAACTTTTGGCAGAGTGAGATTTGACAAAGATCTCTTGTACAACAACAAAAGACCCTGCTTGCTAAACTAGCTAGCACCTACCTCTTGATTGTACCAACACTTATCACTTTTCTCAACTTATAGATAGCTTGCTTTTCCAAGTGTTCAGAGCAGAAGCAGCACTATGACCGTAGGTTATGTTTATCATTTGGTCTTAGTGACAGCCTGCTTGTTTATTCATCATAATCCAAATGAGTATAGCGAGTACCGTCAATTTGGCAGGATGGCCTTTCAGGAGCATGGGCTAGGTGAGGAAGTAGTTAATCTTGTCGGCCAGTTCACTGGGGTAGCCACTTCAGAAATACAGGTATTTTGAATTAATTGGAATAGGATCGTTATGTTTTGGAATTTGCTTGGTTTTAATCTCTTTCAGAATATCATCAGCATTTGCTACTTGTTTGCAAATTATGTATGTTGGAAACATCTTATGTATTACTGAGATAGATATTGTGTTTGGGCTTTGCAGGAGAGATACAACATTTTAAAGGAGAAATATAATGACAAAAACTTAAAAGATTCTGCAGATTCTGGATATGAAATGGGCATATCTCTGGACAAGACCCTTAGTGCCGCTTTGGATTCTTTTGATAACCTTTTTTGTCGTCGTTGCTTGGTATGACTGTATTTGATATAGCCCTTTGAATTGCTTCTACACAATACTTATCTGGTTGTATCTATCCAACAGTTATTTGACTGCCGTCTTCATGGATGTTCCCAAACTTTAATTGATCCTGTAAGTAGATGTGCTTTTCATTTTTCTACAACTACATTTGGTTACATAGATTAGCTTATCTCTGGACTACTTCTTTTGACAGTGTGAAAAACAGTCATATTGGTCTGAATATGAAGATGATAGGAAACCTTGCAGTGATCATTGTTACCTCCAGGTATATTTTTTTCTCTCTTTTAACACGGGGTTCTGCTCATGCATGCCTTAAGGACTTGTTAACAGTTTTATAATGTACTCTTCATATTTTATTTCCGGATTGGAGCCACCTTACAATTTGTGAAGTCTGATTCTGCATGAATACCTTGCAGTTAAGAACTGTTCAAGATGTGCTAGAAGGTTCAACTATTGATGTTTCAGATAGAATGAAAGACACCAAAGAAGGAACTGCAGTGCTCCCTGATGCTGAAGAGCCAGGTACTGATAACGATACAGACCTCATTCTAGATGGAAGAAGTAATTCTGAAAAAGTTTCATCTGTTACTTCAGAGGCTGTTCATAGCTCAGTAGTTGCTATTAGAGCTCTGACTACAGATACATATGCCATGCAAAGTCTGGGAAAGCGCAAGGCCTTACAACCAACAAATGTAGTGTTGAATGAATTGATACAAGTTTCTGATGATCTTCAGAATTCTTCAAGTAAAAAGCAAAAGAAACTATTGCCTCTGGATGTAATTACTGCATCCAGTGATGCTATAGCTAGTATGGATGCGGACAGTGGTTGTCATATCGGTGCTTCCAGTGAAGGCGATCTTCAAATGATCACCAAAGATTCACAAAGTGAATCAATTGAATGTGTGTCAGAGAAATTTGCTAGTTCCAGTAATGCTCTGCATGATAAGATCGAGCTGAATATTAGGGGTGAAGCCAAAGATGTCAAGAATGAGCCTGAATTGAAGCAGGCATCTTCGAAAGTAGAAGTATCTGAAGGAGTTTTCAGCAGCTCTGAGTGGAAACCTATCGAGAAGGAACTGTATTTGAAGGGAGTGGAGATATTTGGTAGAAACAGGTGCATCTAACATTCTGTTTGGCATAATGAAAATGCTATACTTGAGAAGTTTTATTATAGTTTTATTTGCACCTTTTAGATTTTTTTAATAGTTTCATGCTTATTGTATTTGCAGTTGCCTTATAGCCAGGAACTTGCTTTCTGGGTTGAAGACTTGCATAGAAGTATCAAGTTATATGCGTGAAGGTGGTTCATCAATGCCTCACAAATCAGTTGCAGCAAGCTCATTTTTGGAAGAAAACCGGAAAGCTGATTCAGATTGTACAGTATGTGCTATTATACCTTTTTTACTTAATCTCTCTATTTGCTTGCTAATGCATTTTAGAGCCTTCTTTTCTACTGTTGTTTTAGGAGCAAGAGATGCCAACAAGACCAAGATTACTTCGTAGAAGGGGCAGAACACGGAAGCTTAAATATTCTTGGAAATCTGCTGGTCATCCATCAATTTGGAAAAGAATTGCAGATGGTAAAAATCAGTCTTGTAAGCAATATACACCGTGTGGATGCCAATCTATGTGTGGAAAGCAATGCCCTTGCTTGCATAACGGAACTTGCTGTGAGAAATATTGCGGGTATGTTTAATTGTTGAATAAGGTATATGAAAAATGAAAAATGATGTTGGAAAGCCTGTGTGCATCCATAAGGTTTTGTGGCATCATGGTCAATAGAAATAGGCTGGGATGCATCATGCCTCTTATGATGAAAATTCATCCCAGGTAAATTGTAATAGGTCAAACCATATCCTTGTAACTGTGGAGCAGTATCCTATTGCTGATCAATTGGTTGTATGGAAGCTGGTTGAGTTTTATTTATCAATTGTGTTCTTGATTCTAGTTTGGTTGTCAGTAAAACTTTGTATTTTGCTTTTGATTCCAAATAGAACTTCATTAAGTGGATGTTTGCTCCATCTATTTATGTGTGTCTATATATATACTATATTGTCTTAACTTCAATTGACACAAGTGTTTATTACTTTTTCAGGTGCTCAAAGAGTTGCAAAAATCGGTTTAGGGGATGCCACTGTGCAAAGAGTCAATGCAGAAGCAGGCAATGCCCATGTTTTGCTGCTGGACGTGAATGTGACCCAGATGTTTGTCGGAATTGCTGGGTTAGGTAACGAGTTCTGTGTGCCTTTGTTGCTTTTAATTTCAGACACTATGTCATAACTCATTGATACTGTATAATGATATAAGTCTGTCTTCATTGTTAGATTTTCCTTGTTACAACGATGATTTCAATTTAGCGTTAGAACTTTGTTGTGATAAGTTGACAGTGCCTGCTTCTTATGGCACTAATCTAAGAGAACAAGACCCTTTAGAATTCATAGAAATGAAATAGCTTTCTAGGATGCACAGATTAAAGTTAATGTTGCTCATCTAGCTAGACCTGGATAAAGTGGAAATCTGCATACAGATTATCAGGCAATTAGAACATGCAACCTTGTACGATTGATCACCTTTAAGTAAGAACAAGGAACTATTAGAAACGAATGCAGCCAATGCTCTTTGTGAGATGCAGGGGCTGGGGTGCATCCTTTATAGACAACATGAAGAATTCTCATTAACACGGGATTATATTATTATGCTTAAGAGTTCTCTGAGGAAAAAATACTTGGATTTTTTATTTTTATTTGGATTATGGTTGGCACTCAGGTTATTCCAATTATTCAAGGCCTGAAGTGGCTGTCTTTTGTAATTGAGCTTTGATGGATGTTCTAAAATATTGCATGCCCGACTGGATAAGTGCTGTTATTACATTCCATCTTTAGCATTTCTGTAAAATTAACATGCTTTGTACAGTTGTGGAGATGGTTCATTGGGTGAGCCACTGAAACGAGGTGACGGTCAATGTGGAAACATGAGGCTCCTACTAAGGCAACAACAGAGGGTGAACAATGCAGAATGTTTTTACTCATCAAAGTGGTACTGTAGGAAGTTAAAACAATCTTGAATATACAAGTTGTCATACCTTTTTTTTGTTTCCTCTTTTTCAGATTCTCTTGGCAAAGTCTGATGTTGCTGGATGGGGAGCCTTTCTAAAGGTAAAATATACTTTATCGTATCATATTTTCCTATAGTTCTTTGCTAATCTGGTAAATGAACTAGATGATGTGATTTCAGAATTCGGTCAACAAAAATGATTATCTTGGAGAATATACTGGTGAATTGATCTCCCATCGAGAAGCAGACAAACGTGGGAAAATTTATGATCGTGCAAATTCATCATTCCTTTTTGACTTGAATGATCAGGCAAGTGACGATGCGGACAATGGTGTGACAAATATATAATCGAAAATGCAATTCTTCAATATTACTAATTTCCTCATCCAAAAGGCAGCGGTTTTGTAGCATTCAAATCATTATGGTGATGTTTATACGATGTTGGAGAATAGCAATTAACTTAATTCACGTGCCTTGTGTCTACATAGCCACCGCACCACCATCGTCTTTTATTGTTGGACTTTTGGAGTCTGAGATCTAAAGTCTTCCATTTGATTCTTTGCAGTTTGTCCTCGATGCTTATCGCAAAGGAGATAAGCTTAAATTTGCAAACCACTCATCAAATCCAAACTGCTATGCCAAGGTATAAAAGTTGCATTAATTACCTTTCAAGTTAATCGTAGGTTAAGCTAATATATTTACTGCACAGGTGATGCTGGTAGCTGGAGATCATCGCGTGGGCATATTTGCCAAGGAGCATATTGAAGCTAGTGAGGAACTTTTTTATGACTATCGTTATGGGCCAGACCAAGCCCCTGTGTGGGCTCGGAAACCTGAGGGTTCGAAGCGAGATGATTCATCTGTGTCCCAAGGCAGAGCCAAGAAACATCAGTCACATTGATGCACATGCACAATGTACATTTGGATCATTTTCCAATAATGCCATTTCACCTATTTGCAAGAACTGCGTCTTCATGAACAATAATATACATGTTAAAATATACATGTCGGCATTAATGTATGTAGATGCCCAATTTGCCTTATAGATTATGTGGGTCAAACAATAAAATAGATTGGGTAACAAGTCAAAACATATTTGTAGTCTGGAAAATTTTCTAGCCGTACTTTACAATACAATAGGCAATCATTATAGACATTGAACAATGTTGTTGGGAGAGGAGTCCATGATGTATCATTTTCATAATTTAAACTCTTTTTTTTTGATGATAGTAATTATATGTTTTTCCATGCCATTGCTATCATAAACCACTGGAATCAGTAAGTAAGCCTGAAACGTGTTGTCACCCTATAGGCTATAAGCGTCTTCAAGCTTATGCTTTTTGCCATTTGATTTATGATGTACACATGCATATGTGAGATATAAGACCAGCACATGGGTTATTTTCTCTTGGTCCAAAAAAATGGATACTCGTTGAAATATATGATTTACATTTTCCATAGAAAAAACCAGGACGATTAGATTTTACGTTCTGCCTACAATATCAATAGGAATAAAACATTGAAAGAATATATAGCTGAGAAGCACAAACCTGTTTCATAGAAGATTATACTCCTTCTTGGGCAGCAAATGAAAGTACAACAATTCATTCCATGTATCAGGAACACCTGGAAGACACCAATGGCTACAATCCTGAATGTTAGAAGAGTAGCGACTCCCTGGTTTTATTCCATACATTGATGGATGACCATCTATCCTGTAGTCAGACAATCTGGTTATATTCAAGAGAGTTACAGGTGTTTTCATCTGCTTTACGATCTCCTCTACCATTCCATTCTTGTCAGGGTAGATAAAGCTTGAGGTTCCATTAAGTGGTTGAGTAGCTTCCCTACAATGACCACCTGAATTCCATTGACCTCCCCTGTGTATTATGGAACAAATACTACTCAGCAAATGATATGATGATACTAAAGACAATATTTTGAATGGTAAAGGGAAACCTGAAATGTGAAGGTGCAGAATTTCGAAAGAAAACTCGGGTTTTCTTTGGATTGATGCGTTTATCAACCCATGATGCCCAAGTCATCAATGCTCTTCTAAAGGCTGCAGAAACGTCAAGCTGGGGATGGACTAGATTTCCTTCCTGGTAATAGTTAATCCTGTTACAGAGGCACCAAACTTATGAGAGGTAAGTTCATAGAGAGGCACATAATATTCAAACCGCCCATTGACTCCTAATGCATACAGAAATAATTTAAGAGGACAAGTATATGAGCTTTTTCAAGAACTAAGGTCTAAACTGAACTTCATAGCTTGTATCAAACACAGAAAGAATTGAATACATTTAACATTTGAGTCAAACAATGGTAGGATTTAAGGCTTGAATGGTTCTAACCCGGCTTTTGTTTTGTAATGGGTCCACCAATGTGCAGTGTTGAATATCAAAATATCAGCTCCTCTCCATCTTGATGAGCCACGATCAATAGAATCAATTCTCAAGGTTTGCACCCGCTTCTGCCCTACTCTTGCCTTGCTCTCGTGAACTAAAAAATGGCTCGCATAATATTCAACAGTGCATTTATAATCCTACATAAACAAGACCAAAAATTAAATACTTTGCACTATATATCTCACTTCAAAATTCAAACAAAAACATCATCTTTGTGTAATTACCACAAATTTGAAACTATAATCTCCCTTCTCTTTGGTGATTCTTCGTCCATGGGTCTCATAGACCTTCTTTGGGTCTCTAACAGCTCCCATTAACATACACAGCATAGATTCCCATTGATTCCTATTTAGTGAATCTCCAACAAAAATCAGCCTTTTCCCTCGGATCAAGTCCAGCATTTTGGTAGCATTGAACCTATACATTTCATGACATGATTACACCATGCGAAAATCATTCATCAACATATCATGCTTCATTTTCTAACCTAAGCTGAGTCTCAATCAACTAAAAAAGCCTGGTCTCATCATTGCATACTTAAGACAAAAAATTGCAATTCCAAAACAAATAACTTAAATTTGAAAAGAAATACCTTGGGATGTCACAATCTTGAGGCTGCCATTTCCACTTCATGTAATCTTTATCCAGTCTTCCATTGCTCATACAATTGAAACCTTCATCTATAAGAGGACATGAAGCATTTGTGTACAAAGGATAGCTCTCATCGTAAACCCACCTCCCTTTTGTAATATCACAATTTCTTAGCCTCTTCTCTTCAATCCTCTTATCCCTTGTAACTTCAATTTTTTTAGCTGAAGCTGCTCCACTCTTCTTCTTTTTTATCTGCTCATTACTGGTAACCTCAATTTTCTCAACTGAAGGAGCTTCAATCTTCTTCTTTGTAATCTGCTCATCGTTGGGACGCTCAATTTTCTGAGTTGAAGCCGCTTCAATCTTCTTCTCTTCAATTCTCTCATTGCTGTGAACTTCAACTTCCTCGAGCGAAGGTGCCGGTGCACTCTCTTGACCTGTAGTTGAATAACTGTTATCATCTAGATCATCAGCTTTGTAAGCTTCATCCGGGGGTGGTGAAAACAATGTAGAATTTTCAGGTTTATTTAGGGCATCGATGAGGAATAAGTCTTTCACATTTTTAGATGAGGAATTTTTACTGAAACCCGTCAATGTCTCTAAAGTTACAGGTTTGGGACTTAGATTAAGGGCGAGTTGGTTCAAGTGAAAATGGGTTTCTTGGTGAATGGAAGGGGTAGATTTGATGACCCAGATAGAGAAGAGTGTTAAAAAGATTAAAGAAGAAGAGATTGTTAAAGAAAAGACTAAGAATCTGGTGGATTTCAAAGAGAAACTTCTTTGCCTCTCCATTTGATGCTTACTACTCTTAACTTGGATGTGAAAGTGAAGGACAGTGGAATACTTGAATTAAAAGTCAAAGTCAGTTGGTTGAGATTTGGTAGACATACATGCATATGTATAGGAGATGTTAAATGGTGATGATAATTAATTCAAGACGTTGACAGCGCAGAGAAGACTTGGTGATTATGAAGAGTGGTTTCTGGTTTTTCAAGGGAGGGGAAAGTGGCCTGACATTGTGGACATTTTCAGTTACCAAATCCAATATTATCTGTCATTCAGGTGAAAGTGCGAAGTTACTACATATTTTCACCCACAATTTTTACTTTAGTCTCTTCTCTCTCTTTTTTTTTTTTATTGTTTCTCTGTTGAAAGAATAAAGCGCTTGGGAATTTAGCTTTAGTAAACTTTCACGGTACTAAGATATTATTGTGGATAATAAAACATATCATCATACTCTGGACCATTTCTTTTGCATAAAAACTGTTGGTTATTCCTTGATTTAAATTCACTTAATTACTCTATGTCTTGACTTGATTTAAAAATACCATTTATCAGAAAAATGCGCCATTATCTACCAAAACTATTTAGAGTTTTCCAGTGATACAAATACAACACAATAAAAACCCCAGAGTGCAACATAATTTAGCAGCACCGAAGTTCGATAATACATGGAGATTTTGAGGTTCTAGAAAACAGCCTGGACGAGGAGATGCTTCTTGGGATATCCCACGCCAATAATGTGGTTGAGATACACCTGTCCGTCTTTCACGGTTGCCGCTGAGGCCAAGCGATGAGCAGGCCCACTAAATTTTGCCACCACAGAAGCCGTCTCCCACCCATCAGAGCTCTCCACCAATCTTGCTGAAGGATGATTCCCTGCTACTACAAGCTTCGTTGGAGACAGTAGCTCCATACCATCTCCAAATGACAATGGCCCTCCCTCTACCTTAATTAACTTAATTTCCTCTCCCTTCCCAGTCTCAATCTTAAACAAATTCCCACTAAATGTATGAATTACTATCAAGAACCCATTTGGATGGTAAACTATTCCATTCAGCCCAACCAAGTTTTTGTACCATTCTTTTGCAATAAACAGTGGGCTTCTAATGATGGATACAAACTCCCCATTCACTCCTACCTTCCAAATTTTACTGGCTTTGGCATCAGTAACATATGCATTGCCTTCTTCATCAACTGCTGCATCGTCCGCCAATGATTTCTCATCACCTGCACCAACAAATAATAATAAATTACTTACGAGATAAAAATTAAAACATTAAAAAATAAAATATAGAATAATGCAACATCAATGAGAACAGAGCAACTTCCAAATCACGATTCATTTTAAGAGTTGAGTGAACAATTCATTTTTAGATAAGCATAGCATAACGCAAGGTCAACCATAACAACTTCCAAATCGCGATTCATTTTAAGAGTTGCCTACAATTAATCATACGGCTCAGATTAATGTATCAGTAGCAAGAAAAACATTCATCACCAAAGAAATAAAATATTCAGTAATGTCGATGTTGTAAACTTACTTGGCCCACTGAGTTGGGTGAGAAACAAACGTTTCCACGTGGACAGATCATAAGCTGCGAGTCCACTGTATTTATTCCAGAAAAGGTCTGAAACCACCACAAGTAGGCGATTCCTAGGGTGGTCAAGGACAATGCCAAGTGACGCATTGCCGGCTAAGTCAACATCTTTGACCACCGTGACTTCATTTAGAACAGTTTGGGGTAAGTAATCACGGGGTACTGATACCTGACCGACTCCTCCACCCAAAAAGGAAACGAGGAATCGGCGGTGGGATTGATCCCACTTGGCGCACTCACGCATGAAGCCAGAGCTGTGGTATTGGTACACATGAGTGGCAAATTTGGTTCGCTCCAGAGAGATGATGTAAGCGAAGGGAATGGCTGAGATGAGGAGAAGTAGCATGAGTGATTTGGTGGAGCAAAGTGAGAACGCCATACATGCACAGCACTCTCACTTGTCTATGCAGGCAAATGACAAATTTATTGTATTGACAGAGTGATATTATATAATTATTAATTTTCATTATTAACATATATGCGTTAGGAATTCAATGTGTCTGACACAATACTGTTTTGTTATAAATCAGAGAACATTTATAGTATATAGTTTTCAATTTTATTCAAATTAGATATCTAAAAATCTAATAAAGTCTTACCATATTTGTTATTGATATTAGCATCACCGATCAGAGTTCAACAAGCATTTAAATACATTAGTTGTCAGAACTTATCAAAATAAAGGATAAAGAGTTCTTCATATGTCAAGGCAACTTATAAAAACACTTATTATATTGAGTTCAAAGGTGTATAAATTAGCAACTCTCTTCATTAAATGAAAAGATTTGACATATGAGAGCTCAGCATACATTTGAGCTTCAACCATTATTTTTCTTTGTAAACAAAAGATTACTCCATTTTTATACGTCTTACAGGCAATATCAGGTATAAAATAACAACGGATGTATGAATCATTTTAAGCATCCGAACCACTATAAAAATCTCTCTTATCAGTTTTTTATTTATATTTCTTCAAACATATATTATCTTAGTTCCATAATTAACTCTCATAATCATTTCACATATAATTTGTAAGACTCTCTTAACACTTTTAATGTGCGACATCGTTGGTGTCAAAATCACGCATCAACAAGATTGATGCCTAATATGTTATCTAATATCAAAATTTGTTCCCCAATTTTAGTATTTACAGCAAAATATATGTTCATATTGACAACTAGTAACCAGTATATAGATTTATAAAATATCAAACATAGCATACAAATGTTGGTTCACTATCATATAATCTCAAATCTCTATATTCAATAACGCATACTATAAACTAGCAAAAATGAATGAGATGAAATTATGTTTCAAAATCTCACATAATCTTGTTAGAGAAAGTCATTAAATACTTTAAAAAACTTTTCCCATAATCCCCTTAATATAAAGCATTTATTTAATTCTAAGGTCAGCGAAATGCTCATCTGGAGTTCTCTTTTTTATTGGAGAATAAAAGTAATTTACTATATTAATGACTGCCTCGTGTAATCCGTTTGTTTCATTATTTTTTCTTATCCTATTAATACTATTTTCAAAATACAGGTTTGTTTCTTTATTTTGAAAATATTATTATATTTTATTCAATTTTTAAACCCCCTAAGTTTATTAATTTAACTAAACACTTCTAAAAAAAAGTTTAAAAATTAACAAAAACACCCTCATCCACCCACATTTATCAGATTTCGGCTACTACCATCGGAATCTGGTATAATGGTACACTACCACCTAGATCTGACCGATAGTGCGTCGATCTATCATTTACTAGTCAGATCCACTGTAGATCTAACCAGAAAATGCTAGATCTACGGCTAAATATCTAACCGTAGCTGGTCTTCAACGATGGCCAAGACATGGCCGTTGTTGACGACCAAACACAGCCAAATCTGGCATTTTTCGGCCATATCCACGATAGATCTGACTGGAAAAGGCCATCTCGATGCACGATCAGTCAGATCCAGTCGGTGGTGCGTCATAACGTCAAATTCCGATAGTAGTGGCCGAAATCTGACAACTGTGTGTGGTGGTGGTGTTTTTGTCATTTTATAAAAAATTTATATATTGGAGTGTTAAATTTAATTAACAAATCTAAGGGTTTAATAATAACCCAATTCTATCTACCAATAATATTTCAAAAATACTACTCAAAATAATAAAAGAAAGACATCCCACCAGACGAGAGCGACCGTTCTCCGTTAGATAGTTGGAAGGGGCAAAATAGAGACACGAAACATCTAAGCCAATAGAGAGCTTAATCCCAACCAAGAATACCATATATCAGGAAAACTATTTCAAAACTATTTATTGTTTTCCGTAGTACTGGTACAACACAAATTCAAAAGGAAGAAAGCAAACATAATTTAGCTACACACCAGTTTTGACGATACATGTGAAGGAGCTTTTATATATATATATATATATATATCCAGGTTTTAGAAAACAGCTTCGACTAGGACATGCTTCTTCTTGGGATATCCCAACCCAAACATGTGATTGAGGTACACCCTTCCGTCTTTAACAGTTGCAGCTGTGGCCAAACGATGAGCAGGCCCGCTAAATTTCGCCACCACAGATGCCGTCTCCCACCCATCAGAGCTCTCCACCAATCTTGCTGAAGGATTTCCTGCAACTACAAGCTTCGTTGGAGACAGTAGCTCTAAACCATCTCCAAATGACAAGGGTCCTCCATCTACTTTAATTAATTTAATTTCCTCTCCTTTGGCAATTTCAATCTTAAACAAATTCCCAGTAAATGTATGAATGACAATCAAAAACCCATCTGGATGGTAAACAATCCCATTTAGGCCAACCAAGTTTTTGTACCACTCTTTTGCAGTAAACAGAGGGCTTCTAATGATGGATAGCAGCTCACCCTCCACTCCTACCTTCCAAATTTTACTGGCTTTGGCATCCGTAACATATGCATTGCCTTCTATGTCAACTGCTACATCATCCGCGAAAGATTTCTCATCACCTGCATCAAAATCAGTCGCCGTCAAACTCAAAGATTAAAAAATAAAAATGAAAACAATTGCAATAGTATTTCATTGTACACATTTATAAAATTTTAAAAATTAAAAATAATAAAAAATCAATCCTTCTTTTCAACAGTTGTAAAAGTATTAAGAAATTAAAATTAATTTTACTCTTTTTCCATATTAAGAGTCAAAATATTATAAAATAACCAAATTAAATTATTAAAATGTACTTCTTTGATGCACCATAACAAAAATGTTTATTGTTCATAAAATTTAAAATCTTTTTTATATATTTACAAAGATTAAAATTTATTATTCTTTTTTTTTTTTAAATGCTAAAATTGTTAAAAATCACCATATGTTAAGATATTAAAAATGGAATTATTATAAAATTACCAAAATTAAAAATTACTTCATCTACAAGCGAAAAAAGAACAGCCGCCTGATAGGAGTACTGTGATAAGACGTTAATCACAAAGTGACTCAGTTATTTAAAAAATAAACGGCTTTGATGAATGCATCCAACACTATAGAAATAAAAAAGTAATAAATAAAATTATATATTTACCAATAAATAATCTTATCATCTTTTGTCTAACAGTATGACTGATGCACGTGGCAGAACAATTTTTATTTTGATGTGCCAATGTTGAATAAACTCGTTGAAAACTTACTTGGGCCAGTGAGTTGGGTGAGAAACAAACGTTTCCATGTGGACAAATCATAAGCAGCCAGCCCATTATACTTGTTCCTCAAAAGATCTGCAACCACCACAAGGAGGCGATTCCTAGGCTGGTCCACGGCGATCCCCAGTGATGCATTACCGGACAAGTCAGCTTCTTTGACAACCGTCAGTTCATCTAGAACAGTGTCGGGCAAGTAATCTTCGGGTACAGAGACCTGACCGATTCCTCCACCCATAAAGGAGACGAGAAATCGACGGTTGGATTGATCCCACTTGGCGCACTCGCGCATGTAGCCGGAGCTGTGGTAGTGGTACACATGAGTGGCAGGTTTGGTTCGCTCCAGAGAGATGATGTATGCCACGGGAATGGCTGAGATGAGTAGTAGGAGCAGGAGCGATTTGGCGGAGCAGACCGAGAGTGCCATTTTTGTTGTGAACGGGTTTGGTTTTAATTTTTTTGATGGGAAATTGGTATTTGTTGAGCAGGTAATGTATTGGGTGAGGGACTATATTCCCAATTCTTTAGTTTAAACTTGATTGAGCGTAATTATTTTCTGTTTTGCCTAACATTAACAACCTCTTTTCATTATTATATTAATCAGAAGGGAACTTTGTATACGGTCTTTTAAGAGCATCTATCGTTCTTTATTTTGGAAGTACTTTTATTAATTTTTAAATATAAAGAGGATGATTTTTATTCTATTATACTTATATATTTTTTAAATTTAATAAAAATACTCTTTATTTATAATAAAAAAATTAATAAATAAAAGATATAAAAATTTATAATTTATTAATTAAAATTAAGAGAGAGAGTAAAATTTGACTCTCTAAATGTAAAGAGTCAAACTCACTCTCTAATTTATATTTTAAATATAAAGAGTATGTTAGACTCTTGTTTTTATAAATAGATTATCATTCTCTAATTTATATTTTAAATATAAAAAGTATATTGGACTCTTATTTTTATGAATAGATTCTTTATAATAAAAAATTTGAGTCATATAAAGAGTCCTTTGAAAATGTTTTTATTATCTTAATTTATAATATACCGTATATAAGCAAATATGTGATTTATTCTTGTAAAATCGCACAAAATTTCCTTAGATTCTCCTCGTCTTTTTTGAATAAAAAATCGGACCATTAAAGAGTCGTTATGGTACCAAAATTCATCTTGTATTTTAAATTGGTTTAATATTATTTAATTAGTTTACTCAATTATTTTTATGAATTAATTTTTTGGAGTGTAAAGGTAAGAACAATTATAAGCATATTTACCATGCGTTACAGATTATACTCGTGTTTTGATCATTATAATTAGGGCGAACGACGTTCCCACCCAAGGTTTGGCCGAATGACAAGTTTCCACCAAAGTTTTAAAATGACTGTTTCCCACCCAACCAATCAACTTTTCCATTAACTTCAACTGTAGAAGGACTGACTAATAATTTCAAACAATAATTAAAGAATAATTACGTCATTTTATGGGAAAAACATAAACCTTAATTTTTTTTCTCCTTCTATTTCCTTCTTTCTTCTTTCTTCTTTCTTTTCTTCTTTTCTTCTCTTTCCTCTCTCAATCGCACCAGGCCACTTTCTCTCTTCCCCTTCTCTTTTCTTTTCTTCTTTCTTTTTCTCTCTTCTTATCTTTCCTGCCTTTTCTTATATTTGGACACAGTACTTGAAGGTGTTTCCCTTCCACCTGTACTGCCTCATTATATTGAACCAGGAAAGATTAAGGTTACAACTCTTACCAATGGAATCAGAATTTCCTCGGCAACATCAGCTGTATGTGTAGGTTACAGCAACGTTTTGATGCTTTGTTTTATTCAACTCCTAATTGCCATTTGGAAGTGATTTACTGTCTTGTTTTTATTTGGTTGTTTGCTATTTTAAAGAGTGTTATCCGTCTAATTAATTTGAACCCAGCAGCCTCCATAAGGATATATCTTGATTGTGGTTCTGTTTATGAGACACCAATATCGTGTTAGGCCTCCCACTTGTTGGAGAAGATGCATTCAAGGGCACTAAAAACCGGAGCCACTTGCGGATTGTGAGGGAAGTGGAGGCAATTGGAGGTAACATATCAGCGTCTGCGTCTCGGGAGCCGGTGGGGTACACTTTTGATGCTCTGAAAACCTATGTCCCTGAAATGGTAGAGTTGCTTGTGGTGGTTACGGAGGTTATGGAAGAGGATGGGATAGTGGCCAGCAGCAGGTGGTGGCCGACGGCAGGTTATCAAATTTTTTTTAAAGAAAAAACTTAAAATAAACTGAATTTACCATTATGTCCTTCTGCAGTTGCAAACTTGCAATTAACGAAAAAAATGGATGGATTGGTGGGAAACTGTCGTTTTGAAACTTTTCAGTTAGGCCAAACTTGGGTGGGAACTTGTCGTTCGCCCTTATAATTAACATCGGAAATATCGCCTCAAATAAGATTGTTTTGACAAGGAGGGCGCGTACATACAGCTGTCCACCTTAAATTCTTCTTTACATAATCTAAACGTTGATGCAATAATCAACAAAATTTAAATCATTTTAGCCTTCAAAATTCTTGCCAAATCAAATATTATGGTGCACGATAGATTCTCAACATAAGTCCTACCTTACAAGGACTTCTGCTATTCAACTAATTTAAATTATTCCATAGTTTATGACGAGATCTCAACTTGTTTGTAAGGAGAAAAATAAATTAAATAAAGGAGATGATTTTGTTATTTTATTGAAGGATAAAATATAAATTATTATGCCCAGAAAGCTCATTATATTTATATTTTTTATTACACTTTTAGGCTCGCTTGAGGATTTGAGATATTGAGTGCATGAGCCAATGCACGTTTGCACCATTCTATTACTTTATATTAATGGGATTTGTTCGACATCAAATAATAAAAATTATTACTATCATATATGTTATTGTTATAGATTTAAAAATGAAATTCAAATTATCTAAGCATATATTAGCTAGGACTCATTATCTAATCGTACTAATATGATTAATATATAATATTTTCTATTTATTTTTGTTGTAAACCTGTCATAGTTTATAGTAGAAAGTAGCATAGCAATGGATTATATTACACTGAATTCATTGTATTCAATATTATTATGTTATATAGCGATTTGATTTGCATTATTAACAACAATTTGATACCATTTTTATTTCAATTTATACTTTCGTTGTTCTAATCTCTACCAAGTTTTCACAAATATGAAATCCACTTACTTGATTCTTGTTTTAGATTGCGAAAGTATATGATGTTATTATTCATTATTATATTGACTTTATGAAAACTATTTGGTCCGAAAACATTATAATTCACAAACATTTACACAACATGAAGTCTATGTGTACTTTAAATCTTTATATCCACAAACAAGTGAAGAAAGATGGTAGATAAATTTAATAACAAAAAAATAAAAAAATAAAAAATTTGATTAGGGTTACATTTCGGGGATTTTAAAAGGTGTATAAAGTAACATTTAAATAGTTTAATTTTTGTAAAGGGTGCATTCAGTCATTTTGGGGAGCATGTATATACTCATAGTCCAACCCATATCTTAAGCCCAATCATACGTGTAAATTTTCCAACAAGGTAATTTGCTATATCAACCCGGTCCAAAACATTGTAAGCCCACCAAACAAACGCCACCATTGAACATTTCTAAGCCCAAACTGTAACGTAGGGGCAAAATAGAGATTTAATAAATGCCAAGTAAACGTAGCAATCTAAGCCAATAGGGAGCTTATTTCACACAATTTGATTTTGCGCATTCTCTTCTCAGACTCGCTCAGGTAAACCCTAGTTCTTTGTCTTCGATCCAGTTTTTCAAGCTTCATTTGATTATTCTCTCACCTTATATTATCGTTATGTAGTGTTAGTTTTCTGATGTATTTACTATATATTTGAGAATTATGGAAACAACTGTTGCTGTTGATTTTATGTGGAAGATCTTTTGGATCGGTGTCCTTTTTCTTTAGTGTACAGGCTATTATTCTCTTGTATGGATTTGAATGTCGATTACTTTATTTTGGTTACGATTATTTCGTTTTTAAGGACCACAGATAACCGCTGTTGCTTAGCCCTATAGCAATTTTTTCATATATTTACATTATGCATTTGTTATTTTTATTTTTTTTTAATTTTTAAAGTAGATGAAAGAATAGAAAAATTGTTTAGTTTGTGTTTCTTTTTCGATTGGTTTATTAACCACTTGGTAAGGGGTTATTATAGATAATTTTGTTGCATTTTTTTTAAAGAACTTTTTCCATCTGCTTCTAGGTGGATTTTGATATGGATTTACAATATTCTGATAACCAAAACTTTGTTCCAAAATTTGGTATTTGTCTTTCGACTGCTCATGTGTTAAGGGTGCAACAATTTCAGGCCACCAGTGACCGGGTGTGGTGATATTCTTTGAAAATACATTATACTTGTGTTGGATGAAACTTTAGAGAAATAAAAGTATCATAAGTGGGCGTCCAGCTACCAAAATGGGGACTACTATCTTTTCACATGAAAATGAAAATCAAGAAAGAATTAGATTTTTGTTCATATCTCATGGTGGATCACAGTCTGCCTGAACCTTGATACCCTATGAGCCATTTGTTTGTCCAGATAACACAAGTTTCTGTTAAATTAAAGTCCGTACTCTTGCATAGGTTTTTTGGTTCATTGTTTTGAGACATTTTGTTACACTTGCTTGGGTATCTGGGGATTTTTGTGATGAGAAATTAGGAATTTGATTTAGGGACATATTTCGCCTTGTCATGAAATTATGAATTTGATTTAGTGACATTTGATTGCATAAGTTTGGCTTTACTTGTTTTATAGATCTACAAGACTAAACATCATTACAATTGAAGCCATATTGTTTCCTAGGCATAGTAATTCTGCTGTGTCACTTAGACATATTATCAAATTATGAGTCGTACACCAGATTCCCATACAATCACTTGGATATAATATATTTGAAGTTTTCTAACTATTAAGAGTCTTGGGTTATATATATACATGTTTTCAACCCTGAAAGAAATACAATTGGTTTGTAATCTGATGACATAATTAGCTAGTACCTCCATGAGTTTGGTTATTTAGCATTTATTACAAGGTGGAGTAGACACAGTGGTTTATGGATTTACAATTTTTGCCCTTGTATAGTTAGTTGTTATTCTTGCAATGGTTCATATGTTTTCCTTGAATTCCTGCATACTGAAAAATGGAGGAAAATATGTTGCTTGCTTCTAGGTTTACTGCCTCTAACTATAAGTGAAATGGCTGCCCACAAGATTGCTCATGCCACCTTGAAAGGACCAAGTGTTGTCAAGGAGTTATGCATTGGAATTGCACTTGGCTTAGCTGCTGGCGGTCTTTGGAAGATGCATCACTGGAATGAGCAGAGGAAAGTGAGGGCATTTTATGACTTGCTTGAGAAAGGTGAAATTAGTGTTGTTGCTGAAGAATAAACTTTTCTTTTGGTTTCATTTTAATGTGGATGGCCTGAACAGTACAATGATATTTGTGATTTCATTCAGCTCATAAGCTAAGATGAGCATACTTATTTTTGGTCTTTAACGAATAAATTGATGTATTGAGATGTGGATGACGTTATTGCTTTTGAAATTGTCAAGATTCATGGTTTTCACTTCCCCACAAGTGTTTTGCCATGTGGATTGTAATTGTTGTGATACCTGAGATGTTATTTTTGTTTTCAATTCTGTATATGCATGGCTGGAACAAGAAATGCAACAAGCTTGGTAATTATATGTGTATGTTAATTTTAGGTCAGTTTAGAGGTTTCTGGGATTTTTTATGAGATATAATGACACCGAAGAGACTTGCTGCCGTGGATCTCAGAATATAATTTCCGGGAAACAGGCCCCCGTAAGGCCTTTTGATGTAAATTTGAATAAAATTCTGTTTCAAAATAAGAAATGGAAGAAATTATATGAAATTTGTTGTTTAAACTTATTTAAAATAATTTGTTGAATATAATTTTAAATTTGAAAATAAAAATTAATGAACTTTTTTTCTTATGAATATACTGAAAATTTTAAATTTTAATTTTAGTTTTTAAATAATACGTTATATTTGTTTCTAAATTTCAAATTCAAATTTTTAGATTGAATATTTACTTTTCAAAATTATTCTTTTAAGTATATTCACGAAAGGATTTTATAGTAATCATAGCATGGCATTACATAGCTTGGAATTGTGAGTAGCGCGGAAGCTATTGCTCATTATCCAGCAATGATCAAGGATTACAGGTGAAAAAGAGGCCTCACTAGTGTCAGTTTTCTGTTATTCTTGTTCACACATGTTGCCCGCCTGAATATTCAGAACGGCAAGTACCAATCACTTTTGTATACAAACGGATCTCCAGTACATTCGTGTGTCTGATACACGCATTTAATTCTGTTGTATTTTCACTTCACAGGGCTGCTCTGATGCTCCATTTTTACATCCGTAGCATTAGATCTGCTATTCCAATCCACACAATAAATTAACATCAATAGTTGAATAACCACAACAACTAGAATAACAAACTTTTATCTACCTATGACAAAACAAATTTTTGCCAGTTAGCTTAATATCTTTTGTGGTTCATTCATAGATCAACAAATTAAGTTAGGACATCTTGTGTATCATTCATAGAAAACTAACATGGAAATAGATCAACAAGGTGGAGACCCCTTTACCATTTGATTATGTAGAGAAACGTCTGAAAGTAAAGAAATTACCATAGCAATGACCTTGGCAATGAGTGAGATTCTTCACCCTCCAGATCTGCCAATTCTGGTTCACCGCCTGCACTAGCTGCAACTGCTTTGTTTTCAGAATCTGTAGCACCTTTGCTTGTACTGTCTTTACATGCGTGAAGATCTGCCTTCACATCAGAACCATTTGACACACAATATTTCTGCAGCCATCTGTCAGTTTCCCATAGAACATGCATGATGCTCTCTCGTGCAGCATAGCCATGGCTCTCGTAGGGGAGAAGGATTAGGCGACAGAGAGCACCATGACCTTTCAAAGCATTAAAGAAACGATCTGACTGCATCACATGCAAATGCAAATAAGTTACAATAGGTCACAAACAAAATGTCAAGCCAGCTACAAAAACATTAACTACCGTGCTCAAACTTTTAAAAATATAAAAATCAAACAGTGAGATAATACTATTACTTCTATTAAAGGATATGGTGATTATTAACTGCAACATAGTCCATGTAATTTCAGAAGTAGTAGTTTATTCTACCTGCATAGTTAGTGTTCCTGGATTATTGTCTTCTTCTCCATGGATAATTAAGATTGGCTTCTTAATTTTATTCGCAGACATGAAAGGGCTCATTTCTACGTAAGTAGAAGTGGCCTCCCAAAGAGTTCTATCCTCATTCTGCTCCAGTGAAAGAGAAGAAAGTCATATACCCAATGAAACAAACAAACAAACAAATAATGATAATTTGAGGAAATTTTGATATTTTGTTACCTGAAAACCAAAAGGTGTAAGTGTTCTGTTGTAAGCTCCAGAACGAGCAATTCCACAACAGAAAAGATGAGGGGCATGTGCTAGGAGGTTTGCAGTCATGAATGCACCATAGGAATGACCTCCAACAGCAATTTTGCTTGGATGAGCCACCTGAACAAGGGCAGCACCAGAAAAGTTCCAGTCAAAAATATATGTAAAGTATCATGACATTAGTAGCCATAAACAAAAAGAATCAACAATCTTACTCCACGTTGGACGACTTCCTCAACAGCAGCTTCTGCACTAGCAACCAGTTGCTCCACATACCTAATTGAAATAATTGGCCATAGTGCAGCTTAACATATCGTAGAAGAGATATTGACTGCTTGGAGAGAAATATAAAATTGAGGTATCTTTCTTGAACAAAGTGCAAATTCTATCCCCTTTTTGGTATTCGTACGACATTTCAAATGTCGTTGCCCATGTGTTTGTAAATGATAGGAAAAATGTGGATTACATTAATAATCATTACAGCCATTATCCCCCAAAAGTGCATTATGATTAATCATCCTGTCCGTATGAATGGTAACTAAAACATAAATAAAAAATACATATCATCATTACCTATCATTTGCTTCCTCAGCATCTTCACCAATAATAGGAATTGTTGGCCCAGATAAAATAGCAAACCTGCAGGATGTGGAATAATTGTAATTTGATGTAGCACTTTTAAACCAAACCAGCCACTAAAATGGAGCCATAGGAAGAACTTACAATAAACACACCAAAAAATCAAAAGATAGCAAAAGCAAAAGAAGAGAAGAAAGAATTCATGCCTTCTAGCCAGCCAAAGAAGGGGTGATGTCGGACCTATGCCTGGAAATTCATTAGGAGAACCACGAACTTGTCCAGCAGCATCTTTGCTTTTAAATTCTCCTGGGTAAGACCAGAACAAACAGGGAAGAGGACCATCCTTTGATGGATCATAATCTGGTGGCAAGTATAATGTTGCAGTAAGTTGAACCCCATCCTTTCTCTGATATTTGATCATCTCTTTGTTCAATGATGCCAACTGTGGATATGGGTGAGGAAAATTTGTAATTTGACAAGATTTCTTATCTGGCCAACTCTGGATATAATACTGGGTATTTTCAGTTTTTGACTCTTTGGATGTAAGTACTTTCAACTGATTAATGTGTATGTCCCCTTCTGTCTGGTCAGACATTAAAGCAACAGTGGTCTCATAAAATTTTTCCTTATCGCTCTCCCATATTCGTTCTTTGTTGCCTGTATTTCTGGTAGAATTTGGTTTAGATCACTAGCTATGGCAAGCAAGAACACACTAAAACATACAAAAAGATGAGTTTTAAAACACTTACATGTCAAACAAATCAAGAAAGGGAATGTTCCCTTCTGGTGTAGCACCACTTCCATTAAGTAAAAGATAAGTTCCTTCATCGTTTTCTTTCTTTATTTTTGCAATCACATAAGTTCCAGCAGGTGTTCTCCTCATCATTGGAGAGCCAGGATCAGAGTACACATCTTCTGATGACCGATCAAATAATATACGGGGAGTCACATCTTTAGATCCAGGAGATATTATCCAGGTTCTTGTTCGCCTTGTTTTGTACCAAGATTCATAGACTAGGGCCAGTGAATCATCACACCAAGAAATCCCTCTGTGAAGATGACAAAGAATACATCAAAACCAGATTCTGGGCCAAACCATTAAGCAGGATGGCCAAGCAAGCTAAAAGTTTGTCATCGGTTGATTTAAATTAAAATAACTATGAATTGTTTAAGTTCACAAGATTTGGAAAGTGGTCTAACTCTCAGGCAACAATTTCACCTATTCTGAGGATTATAAGCATTACAAGCAGAACTTTTGAGCTTTTGCAAGTTGTCAACATTTGTCACTTAAAAATCTATCTGGATATATTATGCAAAAACCTTATATATATCTTCATACCCATAGCGAAGATCAAGTTGGTGTAAGATTGCTGGCTGTTCACCTTCTAGAGGCTCAGCAGGCTGTGTATAAATTATATCACGTGGAGTAACTTCTACTTTTGCATCACCTCCATCTTGTGTCTCTGCCCTATAAACCCCAAAAGCAGGATAGTTAATTGGGTTTATATATACAATGCACCATGAGCAGTCATTGAAAGTCATATGCACACATGAGAATAATTTTTAAATTCATACCAGTAGAGGGTCGATGGCTTATCTGCTCTCCAATTGATTGATCGCATCCCTTTTCGGACACTACTGAATGCAATGGGGATGTCCTCCGCAAGTGGCAAGTCGCAAAGTTCCCTGACAAATTTCCCATCAGTTGTCCAAACTTCCACCTTTTTTGGAAATCTTCCACATGGTACAATAAAAGAATAAGGTCGGTGAATTGAACTAATCAAAAGGTACTTCTGATCTGGGGAAGGGTCCAATGATGTGTATACAGCTGGAGGCCCAATTTCTTTCACAGTCCCATCCAAAGAAACCAAAACAAGTTGTGTGGTGGCATAGTAGTCAAACAAATCTTCATCAGATTCATCCTTCAGCAAATCCTGGAAGGTTCTAACCTGAATAACATTTTCCTGTTCATTAGATTGGATCTTTGGGCCAGAGGGAACCAAAGGTTTCTTTGGTGGGTTTCCACGTGATAACGGGATGGTACAAACTAACAAAGTAGAGTCATCTACCCAAACAAAATTCTCAAACACTGCATTAAGATGTATATCAGGTGATTGAAACAATGGTCTAGCTTTTGCAGTTTCCACATCAGTAACCCAAACCCTAAGCTTACTGCTTCCACTGTCCTCCTCATCACTTCGGATGCTGAAGGCTAGATGCTGCCCATCACGTGACCAGGTCACAAAATTTATCTTGGAACCATCAGGGAAACCATGCACCTCTTTTTCTGGCCCCAACGTACCATCAGGCAATAATTGATGTATCCCAATACCAGTGTAAAATGACATCCTACTCCTAGTATTGCATTTGCCATCAATTCGAATACCAGCTAGCTTTTCCTCTGGTCTTGCTAGCTCTACCAATGGAGGCAAAGCTCTGCGCTTGAGAAATAGTATTTTATCCCTTTGCGGTGAAAAAGACAATGCAGGAAGTGGTGGAGCATCAACAATATCTCTAATCTCAGGTGGAGGAAGGCGATATCTACCTCCCAGATTGTCTGCATCATTATGAATTTTATTTTATCGACTTCAAGAAATAATTATTTAGAAACATATTAGGCTTTGCCCAGCCCAAAATCATGAATTAAACTTATAAATCAATACTGTGACATGAAAAATAACTTAAATTGCATCCAACCAATCAAATAAATCAAAAGAATCGAAGTGAATTAATTGACTTAAATTTGGAAATAAAATAGTATCCACAAAGCATACACGGAAATAGCAGAAAAAAATGGCTGTAGTACTCGTACAGTTGCTTTATACTAATCAACTTCTCTTATTCACTCAAAACTATTACTATTGTGTAGTGAACATATTGATGTCTAATATCAAATTAAAATTTAAGCTCGTAATTTACGGGAAATTGAATATCAAAACAAAAGAATAATATTGAAGAGTACCTTCACCTTCGGTGGCACTGGCATTAGAAGCAGAAGAGGATACAGAGCCATTAGAGCCACCGTTTTCGGAAGCAACTGAGTTGATTGGGACGAGATGGTGCAACCTGGCGGTGGTCATGGTGGTGGTGGTGGTGGTGGTTTTGAGGGACTTAGATGAATGAGTTCTCAGGTGGCCAGGTGTATGAAGGGATGAGAATCGACTGAGTTTTATAGAGGGAAAGAGAGGTGGATAGAGAGGAGATGGAGAGATGAGAGAGAGGCTATGGCAGACTTTGTTAAGACCGCGCATCATTTGATTGATTGATTGATTCGTCTATTTTCTCTTTTTGCGCTCATTTTTTTAGTATGGATCGTTGCGCTAACCAATCATGTAAATTGCCACAAAGGAAAAAAGAATCTTAGAGCTTTACTTTATGATTTGGTGCGTGGCAGTACGCATACAATTCTGTCCGTGCAATATAATCGGAAGGCTAAGACTTAACCGACCAGTTCATCACCACGTCCTCATAATGTTGTTTTCTCTTTTTTCGATGGACTATTAAGAATATCACTTTTTCGTTATTCGTTTGGTCTTTAGTCTCTTTACTAAATATCGGATTTTCTTTTAAGTGTGCTGCCTCTGATACCATTAGAGGTTTTATTACACCACTAAGTGGTTGAACTCATGTATATAAAATCCTCTTCATTTTTATCTATGTTTATTATTCTAATAAATACTTACTTATCTAGATCTTTTTCTAAAATAGATAATTTATATGTATATTCTAGAAAATAAAAAAAATCTAAGATACTATCCCTCCTATTATAAATCATTATATAACCTTTTTTAAGTTTTTTTCTTTTTTTATCTAAAACCTTTAAAACTCTTGTTAGACCCTTCAAAAAGCTAATCGAAGAGTATGTTCAGACTAGTACTTTTGATAAGTGTTAAATTCCAGCTACAACTCAAGAACAATATGTTACTTTAGAAATCCCTCAAGAATTCATTATCCAATAGATCCGTGAAATATATTCTCATGTACACTTTAATGCTATCAGACTTGCTCTATCTTACCATGGCAGAAAAAGACTCCTAATCTCTATCCGAATTGCTTTGTTAGACACTAGATTTGCCTAATATCAGCATGCTTGCATAGGAATGGCACATACAACTTTGAATGTTAGAACAATTATTATGACACCGTTTTCTAATTTCAATATGTCTCTCTTTGATGTTCATTGCTCCAAAGCTCTTAAAGTTCAATGAGAGATAGTTAGTACAGATTTAAATCCATGAAGTATTGCAACTATTTTGCATTACCAGATGGTTTGGCGGATCCAAGATCATGCTCTTGATCTCGCTATTCCTACAACTACCGATACGCTAGTCCTTACTATTGACTCTCAGTATACTCCTCAATGTATCAATATTTCTAGACAGATCTCTAGAGATAATTTGATTAAATTATTATCAGACTCTTGGGTGATGGGAAATTGCCACTATAGATAATTTTTTAAAGCATACATCATATCAATTTTATTTACAACAGGTTACATTACAAATATTTGTACCACCCAATTTGTATTCACAACTGTGTTAATTTTTCTCATTTCATAAACGGAACAGCGTAAATTAAATGCACTCTATTTTGGACATTAACAGAAGAACAAAAACTGTCTTCAACTTCTTGCTTTTAGTATAGCCCACATGGCCACATCGTACAGTAGGCCTATCTCTGATCAATTCCAACAAATTATATGTTAAATTATTAGTTAGATGTAATGGAAGATTCTTTATTATTAATTGTTGAATTAGAATTTAAATAGAGTAAACGACTTTTTCCCACCCAATGTTTGCCTTAATCACACTTTCTTACCCAAAAAGTTTTAATATACTACTTTTTCACCCAAAATTAATATTCTATTACTGCCCAAAATTGATTTTGGTGACAAAAATTCTCTCTGTCACCACCATTTTAACCTCCGTCTCCTCTCTACAAAATCTCTCTCACTACGACACCTAATTTCTCGTCGACTGTCAGTCATCTCAAAGCTAGGGTTTCTTATTATTAGTTGATTCTTAGTTTATTCCGATGGTAAATATTCATCGGGCACCACCATTCCATCCACCAACATCCACTCTACAAAATTCTTCTTACCTGACTCTTAATAACTTGATGAACGCTGGCTAAGAAAGTGAAGTATATTTTGGGTATTAACGAAATATAAACTTTGGTGCGAAAGTGGCATTTTAAAACTTTTTGGCAGTAAGGCAAACCAATGTTCTGAAAACCGGACCAGACAGCCCAGTCGGACCTCGACCGGCAACCGACGGCAAATATGGTCTGATATATATAAAAAAACTATCATTTTGATTTAAACCGGATTGGACCGTGGTTGGACCATCGGAATAGTGCCGAATCGCGGTCCAATAGTAGCAAAACCCCGTTGGATTCTGGCATCTTTTGACGGAGAAAACACCCCCATTCGACGGACAACATCTCTAGGACCAAAACCATTCATTTTCAGTTGCCGTTGTCCAGCCTATGTCGATCGCCATCCACCTAAAGTTCACGTGACGTCGGATTTCTTTTGTTGATTCCGGCGAGTTCCAACGACGATGGAACTCCCTAGCACCACCATCAAAGTCGCCGGCACCTACACATCAAAAGTCCCAAGATTCTAGCTTCGATTGACCGTCGATCGTCGCTGCCGCCACCACTCACCAGAATCTTCTCGTGACAGGGGTGTTTTAAATAGATTTCAAACCTTAAGGGAGTATTATAGGGGTGTTTTTGATGAATTTCAAACCTTCAAGGACTAAAAATTAATTACGGTCTAACCGATCAATCCAACTGGAAACCGAACCTTTGAACAGGTCATTATCTGATCCGGTTTTCAGAACATTGAGGCAAACCTTGGGTGGAAAAAGTTGTTTACTCATTTAAATATTATAATTTGTTTGCAATTTTAAATTTCAATTTTGACAATCATTATTAGTCGGACCAATGAGCTTGGATGCGACGTCCCACATATTTGATGATTATGCTGTTTTAACCATAAAGCAGTAGTCTCAAGCTTTTATTATATTATTCAAATTATGATAAACGAAATGGTTCAATATTTTGAACTATTATTTGAATAGGGAAGCACATTTGCTTTTTTTTTTTTTTTTTTTTTTTTTAAATAATAGTATATGTTGAGGCAGTCGGTATTACATTTGGTTGAGGAGCTTCTAAGCTTCATTAGCATTGCTTTTTTAATGAATTATCCAATTAGTTGGACATATGCCTATGTATTTATAGTCAATATAAGATGTCAAAACTTAAGAGGTAATACTGTACTTATAATTTTTTTTTCATTAATTTTTTCTTACATACATGATATGACAACTCATAATTGGCCAACTTATAATGAGTCTCATCTGACTAATTATAAGCTGATTAATTGTGAACTGTCACTTTGCGTTTGTGAAAAAAAGTTAGTAAAAAAAATTTGTCAACCTATCTTTATTAAAACTCGAAACGATAGATAAAATCCCGATATTTTACCGTTAAATATCATAATAATAGCCCTCATTCTCCTACCGTGAAAGTTGAAACAGAAATAGAAGGACCACGACTGTTATATACCCAGATTTTTTACAACTTTCATTACCTGATATTTTAGTGGGACCAAATAGCCCTTTTGTTCGTCCATAATTCATCATCTTTTGTCCTATAAGATATTTTACCACCACTAAATATTAGTGTTGCTTCATTTGAACAATTTTAAATTTTGATGGTCTCAAAAAATAGAGTAAACGACTTTTTTCCACCCAAGGTTTGGCCTAGTGACATTGTCCCACCTGTCAAGTTTCAAAATGACACTTTTCCCACCATCAGTGCCGTCAAGTTTTAAAATGACACTTTTCCCACCCATCAGTGCCGTCAAGTTTCAAAATGACACTTTTCCCACCCACCGTTATGTTCTGTTAGGAAAATTCATTCTCTGACATGGTATAAACATGTAAAGACAAAACTATCCTTTCCTCTTATTCTTCTCATTGTAGCCTCTGATTCTGGTTGCAATTCTAACAATTCGCTGGTTAGGGCTTTTCGTCAAGCACCTGGTGTGCGCCCGAGAGGAGAAGAAGTGGGAATGGCTGGAGAAGGTGGAAAAACCAGGAAAAACACCCAAATCAAGCCTACAAACGCAACTCAACACACCAACAACACCAAAACAACCAGGACAACAATCAAAATGCTTCAAAAAATTCCAAAACAATCAAATTGCAAAACCCAGCCGTGGTGGAAGGTGACGGTTCACGGCCGATGAATGACGAGTAATCAAATCCTGAGGTTTGAGAGGTTTTGTAGAGTGGAGGTCGGAGGTTGTAGTGTGGTGGAAGATTGGGTTTTGGCCGCTGGAATCAGGCGAAAATCGGCTTAGAAACAACGAAACCTAACTTGTGGTGGCCGATGAACGGTGGGTTGAAAGATGAGGGGATCAAGGGGGTTCTGGTCAGAAAAGATCGGGGAAGCTTGTGGTGGTGATTGGGAAAGCCAACAACAACGAATTCCGGCCAAATTGGCTGGAGACGGTGAGGTGGGGAAGAAAGTAAAACTTCGACGGTTGGCCAATTCTTTTTTTTTTTTTTTTTTATGGGTTTGTCTGAGCTTATGAAAATTAGCTTATAAGCAACAATTGCTTATAAGCTAAAATTAACTTATAAGCATTTGAAATTTTAAGCAATTACGTGTTTGATTAAAGTATTTATAAGTGACTGATAAATAATTGACATGTTTGGTAAAATGTGGCTTATTAGTACATTTTATTATAAAATTACTAAAAAAAAAATACTATATTAAACAAGGGCATACCATGGAATTTTAAAATTAAACAAAGATAATGTGGTAATATACTTAGTCAAACTAGCTTATAAGAAAAGTGCTTATAAGCCAAAAAAAAAAAAAAAAGTACCTCTCCCTAACTTATTTTTTTTAACTTATAAGCTCAAAAAAATTATAAACAAACAGATCGGTTTAATTTTAGAGCTTATAAGTAAGTTTGACCAGCTTATAAGCTTAGACAAACACCTCCTTAGTTAACATATAAGGGGATAAAATAACGTAATTATCCCTTGACTTCTTTTCAATTTACTATTATATCCTTCTTTAATTAAACTTGACGGATAGATTTTAATATAGGTGGTAAAATTATATTTTGAAACTTTTTTTGATGAGAAAGTGTCGTTAGGCCAAACCTTAGATGGGAAGAAGTCCTTTACTCAAAAATAAAATAAAATATTGAGCTTAATGTGTAGCATCACAAATGATATTTTGTTATCTAATGATTATACATTATTAACTTGACATTTTGTCATATGATTAATATTAAAATAATGTACACCATTCTTTTTTTTTTTAAGGCAGTACGACTTACACATACCTAAGGTTTGGCAAAACGAAAAGTTGGTACTCAAAAGGTTTTAAAATGACAAATAGGTACCTTCCGTCATGTTCTGTTAGTGATTTTCATTTGATAATAGTGAAAATACTAGAATACCCTTGAAAGTTTGATATTTTAATTTTTTATAAATTAAAATTTTTTTTTTAAAAACCCCCTAGGTTTGCTAATTTGACCAAATACCCCAATATATAAAAATTTTATAAAATAACAAAAACACCCCAATCACCTGCAGTGTCAGATTCCGGCCACCACCGTTGGAATCTGGCCGAAAAATTGCGTTACGACACAGATCCGACGGGATCTGTGTTGTAACGCAATTTTCCGGCCAGATCAGCCACGGATCTTGCCGAAAAAGGCCAGATCTACGCGTTACGACACAAATCCGACGGGTCTGTGTCGTAACGCAATTTTTCGGCCAGATCCCGACGATGGTCATCGGAATTTGGCACTGCGAGTGACGGGGGTGTTTTTGTTATTTTATAAAATTTTTATATATTGGGGTATTTAGTCAAATTAGCAAACTTAGGGGGTTTTTTAGAAATTTTTAAATTTACAAAAAACTAAAATATCAAACTTTCAAGGGCATTTTAGTCTTTCATTATTATCAAATGAAAATCACTAACAAAACATGGCAGAAGGTACCTATTTGTTATTTTAAAACCTTTTAGGTACCAATTATTATTTCGTAAAACCTTGGATATGCGTAAGTCGTTCGATCTTTTTTAATAATAAAAGATATTCGAGCCAGGTCTAGATATCTTAATTAATCATTACTTGTTCTAAACTTAATAATAAAGTAAATCTTAGTGACCACCTTATTAGTAATTAAGATAAATTGCATTCAAGACTTGTTGATAATACAACAAAAAATTTATAATTGACCGATCACTAATGGGTGGTTATGCAAACTGTTTTTCTTTTTCTCACGAAAGGAGTCGTTGCAATTAGAAGGCCCCTTTGAAGGTTGCAATGGTCAATAACAACACGAAAGTTTTTTTTTCTTTTAAAATATCTCCAACTATATCTCTAACGTGGAAGTCTACAATTGGTTATCATGTGATAAGAAATATGTGTTCCCAAAGCACCACAGCCTTCGATTATATACATTATCGTCATCACAATATCTTTTCTCAAAACGCAGCACTCTCCCTCGACTAGAGCTACAACAACAAGAAGAAGGAAAACAAGAAGCAATGGCAACAATAGCTGGTATTAACCTGTCAACTCCCAGAGTGATGGCAAAGACGACGGAATCACCAAAGGCTCTGCCTATCAGGTCACCAGGGTTGAACAACCCATGGAAAAGGGCCAGCCTATTTAGATCAGAGCGCATGTACATGCAGCCCCTGAGAGCTGCCCCAGATAGCATCTCAGAAAAGGTGGAAGAAAGCATCAAGAATGCAGAGGAGGCGTGCGAGGGTGACCCTGCAAGCGGTGAGTGTGTGGCTGCATGGGACGAGGTGGAAGAACTCAGTGCAGCAGCTAGCCATGCCAGAGACAAGAAGAAAGATTCGGACCCTTTGGAGACTTACTGTAAGGACAACCCAGAGACCGATGAGTGCCGCACTTACGAGGATTGAAATGCATATAGTGTTATGCTTTTTTAATTTATAAGTTATGTGATGGGAGTTGTGGTGTTCTGATATACGATACCATCTTGAAAGATAAAATTCCTTATTATTAGTGTTTGTAACTTTGTATTTTAAGTAGTCTTTCTTATTACTTTCTTGATATTGAAATTAATCTTTATTTAACAAATTATATGGTCTGCTGCTAAAATTCTGATAACTCTTCGAAGAAAGGCTTTAAATTCTAAAACCATGTATCATCTTATCCTTATCTTATGTGTATATAAAACCGTACATCGTCAATGACTTTGTTATGATGTTATTGGCCACCTAATATGGTTTACAATTATTGTGCAATTGTTGGCAGCACGCTGGGACGGTTTCAACCCCGTTATCCCAAACCCAAGCTTTCCAAACCTTTATAGTATTGTATATTCTTCACACACGTCAACAATATAGTTGCGGGCAAAATTCCAATAATAATTTTTATTTATTTAGTAGATGCATAATAATTGAATGTATGAGATAAATCATAGTTTTGTTTCTTAAAATCTCTATGGAACAATCTTTTTATTCAATTACTGTTAAATAATACTTCTTAAATGTATAAAAATTTGGTATAAATTAAACACTTTACAAGATTACATTCCATCACCACTCGATTTTCAATGTCACTGGGGCTCCTTTCTGTTTTGCGTAGGTCCATGGGCCATCACTACATCAGCCTGAAGGAGTTTTCAACATCCAACTCTGAACCGGTTTGGTTTGTTTGGAAAATACATGCGAAAATTGCATTTGACGACTTAAGAAATTGAAAAAGATCAGCGTTTTAATGAGTCCTCAATTAGTTGCTTTTATGCCAATAATACTTCTTTTAGTTAGGTTAAGTGGTTCATATGTCAAGTTCCTTGTTAGGACAATATTTTTTTGAATTTGATTAACGAACTGACCAACAAGTGTAAAGAAAACTAACATCCAACGAAAGGGTTTGACTTTGAACGATTGTAAACACGTGATCGTGTAGTGAAAGCTAGCTGGACGAAGAAAAAAGAGATCTCTTAATACATGTGATTGTGATATGCAGGTCCAGAAGATTTTTTTTGTTTCTTCACGACGACAAAAACAGAAATCCGGACTAAAAACAACTAATCAACATAAACCATTCATTGCGTCTGAATATATGTTAGCTGAGAGCAGAAAACCAAAAAGCAATTATTCAAGCTTCATGCTTCTTTCTTATTGACATGTAGGTATAGACGATGTAGATAGATATCTATATATAAACAAAGAGAGTTTTAACTGAAAAACTCTACGAATTAGAACATCGCACGTAATGGGAAGAAAAGTTCAATTTAACTAATCATACTAAGCTAAGAGAATGTTAATGAAATCTAGAAGACATCGAACCGAAAAGAAAATGAACAGAACAAGGCACATTACATTGCAGAATGGATAGAAACAGAAATACAACCTTACATTGAACTGAAAAGAAAATGAACAGAAGGCACATTACATTGCAGAATGGATAGAAACAGAAATACAACCTTACATCATTAACATAACAAGTTCCTGCAAACAGGCACTCCCATTAGAAAATAAAACCATACCGACATCAAGCTAAACTAACAACACGTAAAGACCTAAAACGGACACATGACGACCACTTTCATCCAGCAACGACAATACAAATCGATGTTACATCTCAAACATATCAGCAGACGCCGTGATTGGCTGCCCAGGACAAGGGAGCTGCCACGGTTTCATAAGAGGGTCGGGCATTTCAGGAATCTCCACATTGAGCCCACTAATCTCGCCCCAGATCTGCAGCACAGAGTTCAAAGACCTCAAATGATCAGTCAGCTCCATAGTTTGAGCCCTCACGACATTGTTGGCAGATTCCAACTCAACGTAACGTTGAGTACTAGCCACGATGTTTTGTCTAATCATGGCATTGGCGTTCTCCAATTGGCTTATTTCGTTAACCAAATCCTCCATCTGTTTCTGTTTCCTCATTCTTGATCGCCTGGCCGATTCCCGGTTTGATATCATTCTTTTCCTTTTCCTCTCGTCGATCTGTGCATAACGAGGGTCGCTGTCGGAGCCGGAACTTGTTTGCCTTTGAACTGACCCCATTGGGTTTTTTTTTTTTTTTTTCTCTAGAGTGTTTTTGGTTAAATTAAAGCGAAATCGTTGTTTATTAGAATTAACTGTTGATTACAATTAACAATTGAAGGGTTAGAGGAAAGAAAATGGGGCTGATTGAATTGGGGATCGGAAAGTTGAGTCACTAGAGATGCTCGACGATTACTTTATGAAAAAACATAAAACCAGTAAAGAAATACAACCGAGAAAGAATGAAAAAGTCGAATTCTCCGCATGAGGATCAAATAATAAAATAACTCATAGAAAATCTAGAATCATGGGTATTTTTTGAAAGAACCCTAATATCGCATCACCCAACTCGAATAGGAGACAAATATTTAGGAATAAAACCCTAATTTAAAACAGATCTGGAATTTAAGAATAAGATCTTAAAACGATATTTTTGATGAAATAAAATAAAGGAAGCGAAAGAAAGAAAGATGAAAGGAAAAGAAAACTTAGCTGATGCTTCGACGAAACGCAAAGATGATAAGAAACGCTACTAAATGAAATGTGAGACCAGAGAAGGCTTGAAACGCATTGAGATGGGGTTTATATAGCGAAATTTGGGTAGGTTAGTGGTGTCGGTGTTCTTTGCTGGCGTGCAGAGTGACGCCAGCTGTGCATTTTAAATATTAAGTACTAACGCACACCGGCACAACTTTCTTTCCTTTCTGGAATATTCTACAGCGCTTCTTTTGCTCAGTCCAAATTCAAATAAGGATAAATGCTTCAAACAAATATTTCGGCTTTAGCCAAAGGGGTTAGCCTACCTGCCAATGGGGTTACTTTCTTTTTTTGAGTTTTTCAGTTCCAGTCTTAGATTGTTTTGAGTCGTAGGGTCTTCAATAAACTATAAGATTAGTTAAACTATTGAAATATATGTGAGGAATGGGTGGATTTTACAAAAAAATCAATTTAATAAATGCTGAATTAGTATAATTAATGATATGGTGAGAAAATAATTATCCTATATCAGTTTGTATATTTAATTTGCACATATTACATTATTATGTCATTCAATATATAAGATAAGATAACCATTTTTAACTGAATCTATTAAATTCATACTAACATTTTTTTGGGATTATTTTGTTAATGAAACCTAGATGTGTCAATATACCAAAACTAGAGGGACTATAAACTATTTTTACCCCCAANCACTGCCGGAGTAGCCGTAACAAAAATATTAAAAATATTTAGGGGTATTTAATTGAATTAACAAATTTAAGGGGTTTAAAAAATGTTGAATAAAGTTGAATAATATTGTGAGTTTTTTGGTATTTTACTGTTTAACTTTTTTGGGAATACTAAAAGTAGTATTCCCAAAATCCAAACAAACGAAGCCTATGAGTTTTTGGGTATTTTACTGTTTAACTTTTTTGGGAATACTAAAAGTAGTATTCCCAAAATCCAACCAAACGAAGCCAGGATTTTCTTTGAAGTGTGCGGCCTCTGATACCATTAGGGGTTGTATTACACATCCGAGGTTGAACTCATGCATATAGAGTCCTCTTCACTTTTATTTACGTTTACTATTCTAATAAATCCTTGCTTATCTATATCTTCTTCTAAAATAGCTAATTTATATGAAATATCTTATATTTTAAAAAATAAAAAAATCCAGGATACTATCTCTCCTATTGTAAATCCTTATATAGTCTTTTCTAAGTTTTTTTTTTTTTTTTTTTTTTTTTCTAAAACCTTTAAAACTCTTATTAGACCCTCCGGAAAGCTAATCAAAGAGTATGTTTAGACTAGTATTTTTGATAAGTGTCAATTTCCAGTCACAACTCAAGAACAATATGTTACTTTGGAAATCCCTCAAGAATTCATTACCCAATGGATCCGTGACGGATACTCTCATATACACTTTGGTGCTATCAGGCTTGTTTTATCTTACTATGGCAGAAAAGGACTCCCAGTCTCTGTCCGAATCGCTTTGTTAGACACTAAATTTGTCCAATATCAGCATGCTTGCATAGAAATGACACAGACAACTTTGAATGCTGGAACAATTATTATGACACTATTTCCTAATTTCAATATGTCTCTCTCTGATGTTCATTACTCCAAAGCTCTTAAAATTCAATCACAAATAATTGGTGCAGATTTAAATCCATGAAGTATTGCAGCTATTTTGCATTACCAGTTAGTTTGGCGAATCCAAGACCATGCTCTTGATCTGGTTATTCCTACGACTATCGATGCGCTACTCCTTACTGTTGACTCTCAGAATACTCTTCACTGTATCAATATTCCCAGACAAATTTCTAGAGATGATTTGATTAAATTATTATCAGACTCTTTGGTGATGGGAAATTGCCACTATAAATAATTTTTTAAAGCATACATCGTATCAATTTTATTTACAACAGGTTACATTACAAATATTTGTACCACCCAATCTGTATTCACAACTGTAGTTAATTTTTCTCATTTCATAAACGGAACAGCGTAAATTAAATGCACTCTATTTTGGACATTAACAGAAGAACAAAATCTGTCTTCAACTTCTTGCTTTTAGTATAGCCCACATGGCCACATCGTACAGTAGGCCTATCTCTGATCAATTCCAACAAATTTTATGTTAAATTATTAGTTAGATGTAATGGAAGATTCTTTATTATTAATTGTTGAATTATAATTTAAATAGAGTAAACGACTTTTTCGCACCCAGTGTTTGCCTTAACGATTTCTTACCCAAAAAGTTTTAAAATATCACTTTTTCACCCAAAATTAATATTCTGTCCAAAACTGATTTTGGTGACAAAAATTCTCTCCGTCCCACCATTTTAACCTCCGGTCTCCTTCTACAAAATCTCTCTCACTCCGACAGCTAATCTCTCGTCGACTGTCGGCCATGCACAAGCTAGAGTTTCTATTTTTAGTTGATTCCTAGTTATTCCGACATGAATATTCATCGGGCACCACCATCCCATACCAATCTCTACTCTACAAAACTCTCTTACCTGACTCCTAATAACTTGATGAACGCTGGTAAGAAAGTGAAGTGTATTTTAGGTATTAAAGGAATATAAACTTTGGGTGCGAAAGTGGTATTTTAACTTTTGGGTGGCAAGGTCGGCAAGGCAAACTTGGGTGGAAAAAGTTGTTTACTCATTAAATATTATAATTTGTTTGCAATTTTAAATTCATTTGACAATCATTATTAGTCGGACCAATGAGCTAGGATGTGACGTCCCACATATTTGATGATTATGCTGTTTTAACCATAAAGCAGTAGTCCAAGCTTTATTATATTATCAAATTATGATAAACGAAATGGTTCAATATTTTGAACAATATTTGAATAATTTTAAAGGGAAGCACATTTGCTTTTTTTTTTTTTTTTTTTTTTTTTTTTTTTTTTTTTTTTCAAATAATAGTAAAATTGAGGCAGTCGGTATTACATTTGGCTGACGAGCTTCTCAGCTTCATTAGCATTACTTTTTAATGAATTACCAATTAGGTGGACATATGCCACGTATTTATAGTCAATTAAGATGTCAAAACTTAAGAGGTGATACTATATTTATAAATTATCTCAAATTTTTTTTATATACATGATATGACAATTTATAATTTGTCAACTTATAATAAGCCTTATTTGACTAATTGTGAATTGATTAATTGTGAAATGTCATTTCATCGTTTGTGAAAAAAAGTTAGTAAAAAAGATTTGTCAATCTATCTTTATTAAAACTCAAAACGATGGTAAAATCCCGATATTTTATCGCTAAATATCATAATAATAGCCCTCGTTCTCATACCGTGAAAGTTGAAACAGAAACAGAAGGTTTTACAACTTCATTACCTGATATTTTAATGGGACCAAATAGCCCTTTTGTTCGTCCAGAATTCCTCATCTTTTGTCCTATAAGATATTTTACCACCGCTAAATATTAGTGTTGCTTCATTTGAACAATTTTAAATTTTGATGGTCTCAAAAACATAGAGTAAACGATTTTCCCACCCAAGGTTTGGCCGAATGACACTGTCCTATCTGTCAAGTTTCAAAATGACACTTTTCACCCACGTTATATTCGTTAGGGAAATTCATTCTTTGACATGGTATAAAAATGTAAAGACAAAATAACCCTTTCCTCTTATTTTCTCTTTGTAGCCTCTGATTCTGGTTGCAATTCGACGATTCGGGGTTAGGGCTTTTCGGCGAGCACCTGGTATGCGCCGAGAGGAGAAGAAGTGGGAAAGGCTGGAGAAGGTGGAAAAACACCCAAATAAGCCAACAAACGCAACTCAACACACCAACAACACCAAAACAACCAGGACAACAATCAAAATGCTTCAAAAAAGTTCCAAAACAATCAAATTGCAAAACCCAACCGTGGTGGAAGGTGACGGTTCACGGCCGATGAATGGCGAGTAATCAAATCCCAATGTTTGAGAGGTTTTGTAGAGTGGAGGTCGGAGGTTGTAGGTGGTGGAAGATTGGGTTTTAGCCGCTGGAATCAGGCAGAAATCGGCTTCGAGACAACGAAACCTAACGCGGTGGCCGACAACGGTGGGTTGAAAGATGCGGGATCAAGGGGGTTCTGGTCTGAAAAGATTGGGGAAGCTTGTGGTGGTGACTGGGAAAGCCAACGACGACGAATTCCGGCCAAATTGGCTGAGACGGTGAGGTGGGGAAGAAAGTAAAACTTGGGGTTGGCCAATTTTTTTTTTTTTTTTAAGTTAACATATAAGGGGAAAAATAACGTAATTACCCATGACTTATTTTAGAATTTACTTATATCTTTCTTCGATTAAACTTGACGGATGGATTTTAATATGGGGTAAAATTGTGATACTGAAACTTTTTTGTGAGAAGAAGTATCGTGCCAAACTTTATATGGGAAAAAGTCCTTACTCAAAAAAAAAAAAAAAATAGTGTTTATGTGTAACACACAAATGAATTTTGTTATCTAATTATTACATTATTAATTTGACATTTTGTCGTATGATTAATATTAAAATAATGTAAAACTATTTTTTTTTTAATAATAAAAGGATTCGAGGTCAATCTACTATCTTAATTAATCATTAATTTCTAAAGTTAATATAAAGTAAATTTCAGTGATCACCTTATTAGTAATTAAGAAAAACTGCATTCAAGACTTGTTGACAATACAACAAAAAATTTATAATTGACCGATCACTAATGGTGGTTATGTAAACTGTTTTTCTTTTTCTCACGAAAGGAGTCGTTGCAATTAGAAGGCCCCTTGAAGGTTGCAATGGTCAATAACAACACGAAAGTTTTTTTTCTTTTAAAATATCTCAACTACTCCAACGTGGAAGTCTACAATTGGTTATCAAGTGATAAGAAATATGTGTTCCCAAAGCAACACAGCCTTCGATTATAACATTATCGTCATCACAATAATCTTTTCTCAAAAAACAGCACTTCCCTCGACTAGAGTACAACAAGAAGAAGGAAAAGGAAAACAGAAGCAATGGCAACAATAACTGGTATTAAACTCTCAAATCCCGAGTGATGGCAAAGACGACGGAATCACCAAAGGCTCTGCCTA